ATCCATTATTCATGAGGAACCGACGCGGTGAACCTGCCTGACAATGCATGTGATCGTTATAGCGTATTTCTGTAACAACTTTTTCGTACATGACATTCGATCAAAATGCATCCAGAACACACCCGATATATAAAACTGCTTCGTTAATGAAAAACCTCTTCCGTAGCTCATTGTTATCGTTACCCGGGGAATTTTGCTTGTTACACCGAGTCATAATCATTAATCCGATAAATGTCTAGTGTGTTCTATAGCGCCTTTTCCACCCTTTACGCCTGCAGTTCAGCTTTTTAACGCAGGAAGTATAATTAATATGTTCACTTGCCTCCGTGTAATACTCTTTAACCTAAAGTGTTCGTACGTTCGATCGAATATTCACGGAATATTATATTTATGGAGTTTACCGAGTATTTGTCATTTTTTAACATCATGGATAGAGAGTAAGTTTTTCTCTTTTAATGAAATTACTTCGAGTAAGCGTTGAACGTGGGACAAAATAAATATTGCACTTGTAGATTTTACTGAGTATTAAGGATTGAGAATAATCTTTTTTAAACGAAATCATTTTAAATGAATAAATTGAGCACCAAAAAAATAAACGTAGAATAAAATAAATATATTTCTAGATTTTACTGGGTATTAGTAATTTTTTTGACATTGGGGATTAAGAGTAATCTTTTTTTAAACGAAATTATTTTAAATGAATAAATTGAGCACCAAAAAAATAAACGTAGAATAAAATAAATATTATATTGATACATTTCACCGAGTGTTAGCTATTTTTTTAACATTGGGGATTAAGAATAATTTTTTTTACAAGTGACAAGACTCCCAATTCCACAAGAAAATCAAATCAAAAGCGAAAGTGATTAAATCCATCAAACAGAAATTTTAAAAAGTTGATAAATTTCTATACACTATTTTATTCAAATTTCGTTTCCTCGTAGAATAAACCATTTTTATTATTTCTTTATTTTTCACAATGTCTTCTGAATCTGGGGTCCCTATTTTCCTCCCTATTTCGTGGTAATAAATCAGATTACAAAGAAAATTGCATTCCTTTTCGAAAAATTGAGCACCAATCATGAGAAAATTGCAAAAAGTCGAGTTAATCAGTTTAATAGACTTCTAACATCTACGCTCTCTGTTCTGAAAATTACCTTCGTCTTTCGATACCCTGAGAGTAAAATACTTATACAAAATTCGTTATTAAATATTTATCAAATATTTATAATCCTAGAAAAATGTTAATGTTAAATGATAATTTCCTGTTCTCAGTTTGCACGGCTCGGGCGATCAGTATTCATCAAAGGTAACGAACAAAGTAAAATTATCGCAAACTTATTCATGTTTCGCAAATTACGATCTGATATCTTAATCGTAGTTGCTCACATCCCGTGTGAATATTGCTCGAGATCTTGGTTTTCGTCGTTCCTGCTACTGTGTTACACGTAGATAAACGCATCTCTCTAGTTACGTTAACGGTGACTGCCGTAACTCTGAAGTAAATTCTATTTTTAATGGATTTTAACTAACTAACGCGGATCAAACTTTCCGCTACAGCTTTACAGTTAGTTCCCCCCGGTGTATAATCGAATTGAAGTAGGTTTAAAGTTTACTCCCGTATTTACATCGGTTATCGTTGCAAATTTCCTTCGGTTTGGACCGTTTCGATGACGAAAATCTAATAACTCTTTGGAGCAACGATAAATTTCATCATCACGCACACAGACACACGCACTCGAAATTCTCCTTCTTTTATTTTTTTCACGAATACTCCAACAGCTTCAATTTTGTCCGCTCGAGAGAGCAATCGTGAAAATAATATTCTCTCCGTTTGTATATTTTTTTGTTTTTCTCGTCACATCGACTTTTCCATGTTTTCTTTTGCTTTTTTCCAAATCGTACCAGAGAGAGCGCGCGCGCGCGAATCCGCGACGTGGCGGAAAAATTCGGTTTTTTTCATGCGAAAAACCCGTTCAAACGTGGACGAGAGGAAGCGTAAAAATGAGCGGCTGCTCACGGTAAAACTTTAACACGTAATCCGGCTGGCGTTCGTCGTTCGAATGGCTTAAAACTGTCTTCAATTCGACGCCTCGAAATGCAGCCAAGAAGAGAGGGTGAGTAAGAAAGAGGGAGAGAGAGAAGGAGGGAGTAGGTCGAGGAGTGCTTGACAAATCTCCTTCGACTTGCTCTCGATATTTCGCCGGGACGTTTTGTAGAAAAATCAACTGCTGCCGCGAGTACGAACGCCGCCTCGTACTTTGCAAGAATTTAAATAAGATCGGGGCCGAATCGAAGACAGATAGCGCGTAAGGTGATTGTGAATCGACGTGGCTCAATCAAACGCTTCAGACTGAAAGCACCTCTTTCTAGAATATATGGACTTATTTCACGGACAAATACTGTCGTTCTTTTTTCATTTCTTCTTTTAAGGGAGCGTTCACACTTGGAGACGTCATTTTTAGGATAAAAAATTGTCGGATAATTGTAAATCAAGGGCTTGAAATTTTTCACGTTTGTGCTCGAAATTGAACAGCGAAGTACGATTTATCGAAGTTGTTGAGCAACAGGAATCGTTTGTCTGCATTGAACATTCGCGAAGAATCGTAATTATCCGAAGTTCCAACTTCTTTCTGATTTCATTTGGAATTTCTCTGCAATGTTATTAAGTGAGTAAATAAATCCGGAAGTATTGTACTCGAGGCAACTTCACGGATAGTGAAAATGTTTGATTTGAACGTAGAACGGAAGTGAGTTGTTGAAATATTTGCAATAATTGAAATATAAAGTTTTGTAATGCTTGGTTGTGATATTGAAAATTTGTCGAGATTATTAAGAAGTTAAAGTTCCTGCCAATTAATACGTTGGTCGTAGAGTTAACAAGGTAATCCTACTGTTATAACTTGAAACACATAGACGTTTGCATAACAGGATTTAAATTTGCATGAAATTTTCTGCTAAAGGAAGCAGCTAAGCAACATTCTTTTCGTACGATTCAGGCAATTAGAGTGAATTAAGCAAACAAGTAGACAGAACAAAAGAATAAAAAGTTGGTAGTTAGCTTCGATAAAGAGAAGAAAAATTGTATTTTATTTTCTTGAAAAGCGATCAATTTGTCTTAGTTATTTGCATAATTCGCAATTTCATTTGCTACTTTATTTAATCACATTTTTCCATCTTTCGAGGTATTTTATTAATCGAAAGAAAAATCAACTGTTCAAAACTGAATTAAGGTGCTTAACTGATATTTGCGGAGTAAACTAGCAGAAAATTTCATCGAAACGCGAGGGCTAGCAAGTGAAAATATGTTTGACGTGTTGAACGTGTCCAAGTATTTTAGGAAACAAGGCTGTGCTAGCTGGGGCTAGAAAAAAAAATTCGTGCATTTTTCACCGGGTACAAAATCGATACATGGGATATTGCGATTCTATCGGCAAACATGGATTACGCCAAGCCTCGTCGCATAATCCGCGAAATGGACGATTAATAACGATCGAATATACGTATACGTTCAACAGATAACATACGAACCAGAGAATTCTATCAAACACGTTACACGGCTGAAGCGTGTGAATTCACCAAGCATTTTGACTACAAACTCATTCGATTAGCAAATCTATCTTTTTTTTTTTCTTTTTTTTCCACCAATCAATTATCGTCAAAAGGCTCTTATATCTTCTCGAAAATCTTTTTTGATATTCTATTATCAAGTTAAATATGTTAGATTTTTATTTAGAAGAATTCAGTGTGAATTTATTTTTTGAAATATTAGCAGTTAATCAAAATATTTTAGCAACAAGTAACATATTTTTTGAAATAATCATCCCAGTGATTCTTTATTTCTAATTAATGTTAATAGTTTTAAAACGTCTAGTGCAAACATAATGTTTCAGATTGTTAAATTAATTTTTTAATTTTAACTTAACGTTTAGTTATGGAATGTGCTGTTTCTTTGAAGTTCTATTACCAACAGAAATATATTAGATTTTTATTCAGGAGAGTTCAACGTGAATTCTTTTTTCTGTCAAGAAGTAACATATTCTGTAATTGATTCTCCTAAAATTTGATTTCTAATTAACCATTTCGCTGCGGCAGATTTTATTAAGTAACATGCATTACAGACGAGATATTCAAACACGACTGCAAAATCCTTTATTTTGGCCGTATCGTTTAAAAATTTGTTTTACTAAATTAAAGTGAAAAGATGTTAATCCTTAATAGTGTAAAAAATATTACGCTAAATTACATTTAATCCTCTGTAACACCACGTGACCTTCAAGTTAGGTATCATTTTGTTTTCTCATTGCATTATATCGTTGGACACTTAAACTATTATCCTCTAACTTCTTTCTAATAATTATTAAAATCTTGCTTCTCCCACCGAAATGTGAAATTCTTCTTCTTACGAACTTACGAAAAATCGGGTTAGAGATGGTAAATGGAGCAATTGACAAAAGTGAAACAGGGGCACAGTTCCTTACAGCAGGTGAACGTAAATGGAACTTCGGTAACACGGAATTCCACGATGGATGCGTTCTACCTCGGTTGACCTCGATCCTTGCCCGACCTGTTCGTCGTATACTTTCTTCGCGATCAAACAAGCAAATAGTCGTCCGAATATCGTATCGAACCCGTTACGCCATCACCGAGTCGACTCACGTGCTGCATAAAAGCGGCGATGGCCAGGCCCCGTACAAAACGACACACGTCTATTTTATCCCATCCGTAGCCTAGCCATTTAATCATTCCGCGGAACGATTCCGCGCTTCATGGAATTCCCTTATTCGGCGATCGGGACATACATATATGTAGGACCCACGGATGCGTGGCACCGTTCAACGTCGACGAATCGGGAGAAAGATCGATCGGTTCGTTCGTTTCTGCACTCTTCTACACTCTACTGTTGACCTGTCCGACGTTTCAGTCGCGAGGATATCGGCGACGATCGCCCACCACCAACATATCCACCACGCGCGAATACGATAACGATTCAATCTTACCTGGATTGCTGTCGGCGTTCGAGCTGAACAGAACGCACAGACCCGTCTCGTAGTTCACCGCTTGGCAGGAGTCGTTCGCCTGACAGGTCTCGAGGCAATCGGTGAGCATCAGAGTTCCAGGTATGGACTCCAACATGTTCGTGGGCGCGGTGTACACGTACCCGGTAACCAACTCGAAGCCCACCATTTCTGGGTCGCATTCGTCGGAACCGGCAGATGGTCCGGTGTAATCTGGCCCAGAAAGGCCCGATGGGACCGCAGAAGGGACTGGCTGATCAGCCGCGTGCGTCGACTCTGCGGCTGCCACGCGACCAAACCTCGCGATAGCCTGCACCAGCAGCAACGCAGTGATGAGTCTTGTCATCGTGCCGCTACCCCTTTCTTCCGAGTTTTAACTAGAAGCAGAAAAGGGTTTTTCTCGTTTTTATTTTTCTCTTATGGGTCAACTGATCGAATTCTTTCAATAGAGAGCGATTTTTTCTTTTTTGCGTTTTGTTTAACGTTCTTTGAAAAGAGAGGATAGAAGAGGTGGAATTAGACTTTCGAGTGCAATTTCATCTGCATGCTGAACAAGGTGATGCTACGTTACACAGAGACTGAACCTATATTAAGACCAATCTACCTGTCTTCCAATACTTTGTTTCCGTTTTCTAACCTGTTCAACCTGTTTTTCGATCACCTTATAAAGGCGCTCCAATGGAAAATTATAGTATCGGTTCGTCTGCCTCCCATTTGCAATAGCATTTTTAGTGCTGTTTTCTGTTAATAATCTGGCGAAGCTGGAGAAATGAACCTGATATTCTGCTACTTTTTCCTAATTAATTACTGGAATCTTCTTTCGAAGTTGACATTTTTCTGATTCTAATTTTCTTTTGAATATCTTTCATCTCGGGATGGAAACACTTTGGTTCAATTTTCGAAACTGGACGAAAAAGGACCACGAAATAGGAAAATGATTTTTAAGTGAAGTCTATAAAAAGTCTTTCTTTCGATCTTAACCTCAAGTTCGTGTCTCGCAAATCTACCAGCGTGCACGAAAATTGTAACTAAAACTAAAACGTGCGATACATAGACCAGAGCTCCGTCATTGAAATGACTATTCCCGTTTCTATTAAAACGTGTTGCTCCAGCCGCTGAAAAAGGTACGTAAATACCGGCGTATTTCTCTCCACCTCTGTTCCCATCACGTTGTTTTCTGTCACACGAACCTAAATAACAATCGGTCCGGTTTCGACATTGTCGGCCGAATACGGCGCTTCCACGCGCGGCACCGTCCGATAAAACGAACGAAAAAGTTCAAGTGGTAGTCTTGCACAAATTCCACCATTTATCTCTAGCATAGCGAACAATACCGAATTGCGGTGAAATGCGACAATCTGTGTGTTCTTCTCTTTTTTTTTTTTTTTCACCGTGCATTAAAATAATTACACCGATTCACTTCCCCGACGATACACCGAAGAAAACGCTTCCGTAAAGCAGCGTTCCGGATAAACATACCTGTCGAGATTATCGATAACCCCTTCGAGTCGTGCCGATCTCGTAATTCGAAGTAGCCAATACAGAGAGAGAGGAGAGACAGAGAGAGAGTGAGTGAGTCAGCCTAAAAACGTGTTGTTCCCTCGTTCGCAAACTTGGAATACCACCAAACGGACGTTTCTCACGAATACGTAGAGATATCGATGCTTGTAAGCGAAACTGACGAATGTGCTGCTGCTGCTGCTGTTGTTACTGCCACCTTCACAAATAAGGGTGGACCCGGGTTTTCTCTTCACCAACGAATCACAGGGTTCGACAAGGCAGGGTAGTATATTCGATGTGTCGTGCACGCGCGCTTAACCACTTCGGAAATCAACGACGATTTGCAATGATAATACCGATCCTCTCGCGAGCACCGCGGCTGCAGGGTATAACGACGTCGACCGGCTGGCTCTTAGGCACTGGGTACACCTGGCTGAGCCGCGGCGCACGACTCTTCCTCGACCGAACTGGTAGAAGGGGGAGGGGGCATCAGGGCCTCTGCCGACTAAGGAGGACAGAACGGTACGCACAATTCGATCGCAGCTACGACACCATTGAAAACAAGCCAACCTCTTTCTCTCCTTCCCTTTCTTCGCGTGTCCATTGCCTCCACCCGAATTCTTCCCCCATTCCTCTACTTCCTCGTATACACTGTTATCGAGAGCAGAGGACTGACTCCCCCGTTGCCGGTCGGGGACGGTACCGATAGACCTGGATTTCGTTCACGTATACGTATTCCCAACCGCGATCGGGTGAAATTCTATTCTTAGTGTCGGGGAGCAACGGTTTTTGGCTCCCTCCGTTCTTCTTCGCTTGACGTAACGACAACAACCGTAACCACGACGGCACGGGGACACCTACGAAATTCATTCCACCTTTGGGCCAACAGGCCAGCCAGCCAGCAGGTGAAAATTCCTCGGTGAAACAATTTGCTCGGACTGATAGAACGTGGTTTTACCAACCGTCGTTCTCTACTTATGAATGCACACTCCGCGTCGCGACACTCTCATTCACACTGCGATTGTAAATGACATTAATGAGCATTCGCAACGGGATCTAATAGAATTAACACGAGAGTAACTCGAGCCCTCTCGTGAGAACCTTGCACGGGTACCGGGGCAATTGTGACTATACCGCTGATTTATCCAAGTATTTTACGCGAAACGTTCTGCGTACTTTCGTATTTCATACTGTTTCGCTTGAAAAAGAATTTTGCTGGTTGATTTTACGATAGAATGTTCCCTGCCAGGCTGTTTTTGGGCCATTTTCAGGCCACTCGTAACGTGGCGCACGTTACGGAGTTTGATAAATACGCGAAAATTGTGTTAACTGGGCATTTATTTATTAGCAGAGTAAATATTGAAAATGCAGGATATGACAAGCGAATAAGTTTATCTCGTATTGAAAGTATACGGGAGTAAGAAAGAAGTTAAACAACGTAAAACAGAATCGGCAAAAGAAAGTATGGTAATATGCATCTTTTTGTACCGAGAACGGTACACGCAGCAAGAAACGTATTAACCTTTGCATAGGCGACCAAAATGTTCACGGTTGTTTCAAGCTTTGATATCGAGAATTTCTTGCATAAATGTTTACTTTTCAAACGTACATCGAACATGGCCAAAAAATCGGTATCCGCGATACTTTCGCAAAAACATTGTTAAAAGGAAACATAAAAATCGATATCCAGGTACTCAGAGTTGCCCGAAACAGGGGTTAAGCAAGACGGTAACCGATAACCTACATTTACACGCATAAAAACGCTATATATAGGGAAGTAAAAGGATCAGCAGAGAGAGCTGTGTGTAGGAAGTAACGTAATAACGGGAAAAATAATGAAGTTGCGTGATGGGTATCTAAATACGTGTACGAAACGGAGGGGTTGGTTTTCCTAGACGAGAAAAAGGAACAGGAGCAAAGTGAAAACTGACGATGATCTGTCATTAGCTGACAGCTAACCCAGAATTTCGAGGGAATGTTTGCGTGACGAGTGAATGATAATTATCGCGGGTAGTGTATACATAGTAGAGCGGATGAAGAGTAGAGGAGATACAGGTAGAATAAAGCGAAGGGGTGGGGAGGAACAGGAAAAGCAGGAGATCCCAAAGAGAGCAAAATCGGGTGCACGTGTGAACAGTGCGACCTAAGCGGGCGTCGGTGTCTCTATGAGCGTATACTCGAGCGATTCACGCGGTGCTTAGAGGCTGTTCGACGTGGAAGAAGCGAAACGAACATCGGCCAGTGAGAAAGAAAGGAAAGAGAAAGAAGCGTCGAACGGGGGAAAGAGAGACGTATAGAGCGCCCGTACCAGGTGCCTATACCATCGCGTCACCATGCTGGAATAACGGTGCCTGGATGTCTCATCGGGTTCAATCGCAATCGGCAATCTTCCGCCGCGGAATTTCGCAAGGAAACGACCGTTTTGTCGTCGTAGTCGTCTTCGCCGATTTACGAGCGGCCGCTATTCGTCCGCCCTTGAGTACCGATCGACCCAATGGCCCCCTAGCCGTGTCGTTTGATCCGCTGATGCGTGTCTTGCGGACCCGTTTCTAATAAAGCCACACTACACGTCCTGCGATCGGTTTGATTGCTCCGTTTTACGCAAGATACTTGTATTACGAGTTTCCAGTCGGAGAATTCGTTCGGTTCGATTCGTTCCATGGTGTCGCACACCACGGCAATTGCGGATCGTTCGAAATCAATGCCCAATAAAAACGTAAACGTTTCGTCCGTCCACTTGTGCTTCGCGGAGAAATATCTTCAATGATGTTTGGACGATTTTTCACACGATTTTTGGGGAAAATTTTGTTGGAGGAAATGTTTCGTTTTGAATATTGATTAATGTTAGGTCGTTACACGTGAAGCCTCAACGATGTAGTCAAAGTTAAATTTTAGTTATCGAAGTAAGCTCAAGTTGATTCGACAAATTTTTACTAACGAATTTAGTCTGTCGTTGCAAAAATCTGAATTTTTCGATGCTATAAATTTCCCAAATACGTTTTTAATTATTGCCACGTTGTTGAATTTTTTTTTTTTTTATTAAAAAATGATCTATATGCTCGAAATTACATTTTGCAAGCGTATATAAATAATTTGCATAAGCTAGTTATCCAATATTTCGTGTTGCCTCTGCAGCACTATGTTACAGTTCGAGTACACAAAAGAGGATCACTCGAATTTTATTAGCATTCATTTTCTTCTTTTAATATAACATTAACCTAACTGTTTCAAGTCTGGCATTTACTTTTTCATGTAACAATCGATAGGATTCTAGTTCACAAAAGCAGAATTTAATCTGCTAGCATAAGAACACCGTCATTTCATATGCAACGACCTAATGCTATAGTGATTAGACGTGTAATCAAATATGGATTGAATACGTTTGCACGTAATCTCTGCTTTTCTATACTTACAAGGAAACATTCCGAAGCGATAATCATCGATTTCGATGAAATTCTGGTGTATAATAGTTCCCAGAAAAATATTCGACACGTATTTTTTTTCTTATATCGACAATCGTCCACAGTGAAGGGTTGAAAACTGCCCTCAATCTTGGAGATAGTTAATATATTTAGTCCAATATCTCGAATTTTATATTTTTTAGCAGCAAATTGAGAAATAAAAAATAATAAATAATAAATATGTTTATTACCTTAGTCTTTGATTTTTGGACGTCTTTTGCCTCTTCAATGTGGACAATTTTCAATAAGAAAAAAAAATACCAAATTTTCACTTCGATATGTTCCCTTATTAGCAAAACTGAACCATATTTAACATTATCACTCTTACAATTACCATCCAATTAATTGCGATATTTATGCAGTTTTGTCACATTTTATTGGATTG